ATTCGTTGTATCAGTACGATCTGTTACAAAGCAACTTACCAAATTAATGGTATGCATAAGTATATCGAACCATATCATTATAGTTCTTCAACACTTGACAAGCAAAATAAAAAATAGTCTTCATATAGCTACATTAAAAGTTTATCGTGATCATAAGTCACGTGAATCTCTAGTGATGGGTTAAATTCAGGGATTGAATTGAATAGATTATATTTAAAACAAACAAAAAATCTTCGTATGGTTCATTTTTCGATAAGAATTTTCGATGGTAACTCGATAATATCAATATTGTAGCTGTTTTATACAGTGGAAAAATTTTTCAAATCTTATTCAGAATAGAGTTTTGCAATTGAGTCGAGTATCCAGTACTCGACCCTAGTCAATGCTTTAGTCTGACTAAAAATTATCTGATCGGTCTGGGTGTCGAATATGAAAACAAACTGCCGCGTCAAGTTCAGTTATGGTCTTCTACTCAGTACTTATGTACATCTCAATAATTCTTTCAAACTGTTATTTACTTATAGATACAGAAGTGAAATGGACAGTACAATCATATCTTCACTAACTGGCACACTTGAGAATAACTAACATCATGAAACGGAGAGAATTGTTTTTCTTTTAATAACTATGATACAGAATTGTATAGCGAAGTGACGTACTACAGTACAGATAATGTTAAGTTATTTGAAGGGTTAAGATTGGCTCTCATTGATGAAACAAAAGTTTCAATGATATCTATTCCATAGTACTCATAGAATTTTACAATTAGCAAAGTATCAATTGTTTAATTAATTACTTGATTCGCTCAGTTCCATAAGCCGCGAATAGTTTTCAAGTACAAAAAATTTCTTTTAATGCTAACATGAATTCAGAATAGAAAATAATCATTCGAAATTTTTGTATTATATCTTTAATAAAAGAAAAATCTTTCATTTGAATTGACTTATATTCATCATATCGGAATCATTTATTATCTATAATTATTTTTGTTTATTCTATTAGTTAATTCACAATTCACCAACTCTTCAAGGAAATGTTCTTCTATATCCATTTCAACATGTTGTTTGTCTTGAATTAAAAAAAATTCCACCACATATGGTACTCGGTTTATCTTTACTTCGTCAGCAGCTTGAAACATTAATATGTTCTCAATCTGTAACAAAAATTGAAGTAATAACCATTTGTTTTTTTTTTTTGTTTCGATATATTCATTTTTAATTAATTTATATTTAATAAAAAAAAAGGATTTAATAAGTGATTGTGGTGGAGATTCAACACAACCTCAAGCATGGCCACGACTTAAATCACTTTTTCTTGCTCATAATTTTATTGAATGTCTTGATCAATCATTAGTAAGAAAATCATTTATTTTATTATTTTAAAAACAAATTTTTCAAACTTCTAGAAATATTTAGTTACACTCGAAGTACTTGATTTAAGTCATAATCGATTACAAGATTGTTCAAAGATATTAGATGTTAGTAAAAAACAACTGAATTTTCTTTTTTTTTTTTTTTTTGAAAAATAAAATTTTCTTCTTCTAATAGATAATACCTCATGTAAAACATTTAAATCTTTCATCTAATCATTTACGAAGTATACCAATATGGTCAGAAACAAAAGGTTCATGTCGATTATTAACACTTAAAATACGTCAAAATTCTATTGAAGATATAACTGGTAAAATAAAATAAAAATTAAACTAAAAAAAATTCTTTTTTTTCTTTAAAGGTATTGAATTAATGAAATCAATTGAAGAATTAGATTTAAGTGATAATTTTATAACACGTATACCTGAATTAATTCGACAGATGTCTATGATAAAACGAGTATGAGTTATTTAATTAAAATCAAGTTCAATATGTTTTCGTTTATTATTTTTTATTTGTTTTTACTAGCTCTTCTTTGCACGTAATCCATTTACATATGCATCAAATTATCGACAAAATATTATAAATAATTTACCATTTGTATTTTCACAAGAAGCTCGAGAAGTTTGTTTTTCGTTTTGATTATCTTATTTTCGCTTATTTATTGTTGTCTTTAATTTAGCTTATAATCGATAATGAACAACTTACATCAAAAGAGAAACAAGTAAATTTTTTAATTAATTAATTAAAATTTTTTTTTTTTTTGTAATGGTTTTTTTTCCTCTTCAAGAAAATTCCACGAAAACGTATTCCTCCATCAAATCTTGTTCAAGGTTTTAGATTTAGTTCGCCACCATCATCATCACAAAATACAACAACAAGTGAATCGACAACAGAACCAGAATCTATTGTAACAAATTCATCTGGAACAATTGTTTCACGACGGTAATATTAGATAATAAACGAAAATTGACAACATAATTTCATATAATTAGAACCAGTTGAGTTTGGGACTAACCCCCAACGAACTCTCTATATATATAATACAAATGAATATCATAGTAGGATAACAAATTTTCTGAATTCTTAGATTAGATAATATCGAGAACTTAATTGAATATCTGTAGCATAATTTGACGATGATGTTTTTTTTACTAATGATAAGGATTTGTTGACATCCATAGGGAACAATCGTTTGGAAGTATCACTATTAGTTGCAATAAAAATATTCTATTCTCTTATAGGCAGTAAGAAAAAACAACACACAAGTATGTCTTGTCTTCCCATCGAACCTACGCTCATCTTTGCATTTACAGTTATATAAGCTTTGAAAAGAGCTAACAAACTGAACAGAAGATGATGGATAAAGGACATGTTGAATGACGCAAGAAGAAAGGACATTAAATAAGCATACAGAGAAAGAGCAAGTTCAAGTATATCCGGCTGTAGAAGAAAGAAAAAGATGCATATCATGAAGAAAAAGAAAGGAGGAAAACATATCAGAATGACATTATAACACTATATGATTGCTAAAAATGTGATTTAATTATTAACGCTTTCCCTTTTTTTTTTGACAGAGTAACTTTTCTTCGCTGTGCTACTTTTTTCGTAATGTGTGAGACGAGAGAATTTCTTTGGTTTGAAGCTAATAGTGATACTTCAGAACGGTTCTTTCCAACTGCTTCCTCTATGAATATGAATTATGAGTACTTGTTTATTATCGGTGAAAACAAAAATCAATGCATTTGGTTAAGGTATGGTAGATACATTTAGTTTTTTTTTTTTTGTACAGTAAAATGACTTTTAGTCCATCCTGTAGAAGTTATGAAGAAGAGAATATCGTAAATTCAAATTTCTACACATCATTATATAACGGATGATATACACCGAGCAATACAGCTGTCAGCATCAAGATTAAATGTCGATGATGTATAACTATAATTCATTTTAACATGTTCAGTTGAAGGAATATAATCTCTAGTTTGGTATTTGTTTAGATGAAGAGATTCATTTTATTCTGAAAAGCATATAGAAATAATATCTTTACTTTTTAAGTTGGTTTGACTCAGGAAATTGGTTTTGTACTAGAAAAGTATATATATAATAGAAATGAGTTTCCTCATGCAATCCACAAATATAAAACGTTACTTTTATATTCTTTTTATATTAAAATCAATCTCTTGCACTTATATCTCAAAGCATTGAACTAAATTTCCATAAAACATTTTTCATAGTAATTTCATTTAAATTTCCTAAGTTTTAAGATTTTGTTTAGATTATTTAACACAAAGGTAGACGACTTATACTTGTAGCCTCAGAAATCATACGCTAAGTCGTATTATTAAATTCTTGAAAGATTTCTAAGAGTATGATTTCATCTAATCTTACGTCTGACTTTTCTTTTTGTACCTAGATTATGACCTTACAAAAAAATTTTCTTCGAAATTTTGTTAAAGAAATCAGAAAATTTTATTCATTGTTATCTTTTGTTTTGTTTATTTAATCTAATTTATCTTTAATATAAAATTTAGTCGATCTCGTCGAAAATTTCGAGATGGACGTTTACGATCGCTTGATACTGATGAAACACCAACAGAACATGGTAAATAAAAACTCTTTGTTTGTTTTATTTTTCTTCATGCATTATATCATATTTTTTTGTGTTTATTTTTCAGCTACATCTGGTTCAGAAAATGAATCAGCTGTAAATAGACATCGTTTAGGTAAAGTAGTTGAATCACGTCATGAAGTTGATCATAATTATCTTACATCACAATCACCAATAACTGCTGGAAATATTTATACAACAACAACACTTGAACAAGATGATACTATATTAAAATCATTACCATCAACAACTTTTGCAAGTAGTATTCCACGTAAATTAGCAAATGAGTTATCATATGTAAGATTTATATTTAAAGAAAGAAAAAAAAGAAAAGAAATAATCTAAATAAATAGTCTCCAAAACGAAAAAAAAGTCCTCGTTCACGAAAATCTGATCAACCAACAAAAATTGTCTTAGAAGTTGTTGATTTTCAAAATACAATGTCTGATGCAACACCAGTACCAGAATCACCAACATCAGAAAAAGAAATTTCATTTAATGATAAATATTCAACAATAATAATGCCTAAACATGAAATACAATTCATTACAAATGAAGAACATACTACTGGCGGTATAGAAATAATTTTTTTTTTTTAATTTGTTTTTATTGAATGTACTACATGTTTATATTCATTTAGTTGTTCAGATAGTATACGAACAATATTTTTTGTTACTGATCAAACATCCGATGATAGAAATAATCGTTCACTTACAATTGAAATTGATCGAATGTATTTAATTGAAAAAGATAATAATGATGAAAAATATATAGAAAAACTTAAATATTCAACAATTACACTTTTAACTAATAATGAAAGGTTTAAAAATATAAGATATAATTATATTAAATTGTATGTTTGAGTTTTTCTTTTTAGTAATAAAAAAATTGTTGAATTTACATTTGAAAAACGACGAGGTGAAGTTGAACGAAGAATTTATTTATTTGATACAATACACGATCAAAAAGTACAAAACAAAAAAAAAGAATATTAAATTTTTTTTCTTTAATATTTAATTAATGAATACTTCAAGGCTTTTGTTGAAGAAATTGAACGTCATCTTGAATCACCAATGTCAACTGAAATAAAATCTACTTTACCATCATTTGTTGAGGTTTGAAAAATAATTTAGACAAAAATTAAAATAAATTCATTAACTTTTCTTTCAATTTAGTGTACAAAGTGTGGGAAAACGTTTCAGCAGTTTGCTACAATTAACAATACCGGTTAGTAGAAATAAAAAAAGCAAAAGACAAGAAAATCATACTGAAATTTTTTAAGTTTATTGATACATAAATCATAGAGTTAAATCTTTGCGACATATCTATGTTGATTTGAGCAGAACCGGTCGTTTTTTGTTCATATCTATATGTATGTCGGATTATATGAATATATAGAGCTGTATTTATCACTAAAACAAAAATAAAATGGCTTCGCATGTGTGAATTAGAGTAATAATTCAACTGAAGATTTTAGACAGAAGATCTTCATACTAAAGATGATCTTAAGTGGAAAAGAATTTTAATAAAAGAATACTAGAGATTGCACGCAAGTTTTTCTCTAGAAATAACTCTCATATTTTTTTAACTTATTGATAAATATACAATCATAGGATATGTTTTACGTATCATATCTACAACTATAAAACAGTATGCTACGTTGATTGATCAGCATGTCATATTAAGAAAAAGAAATCAAAAAAATCCTTTATGAATCATTACGCCTTTCTTAAAATGAACTTAAAAGAATTATGTACTTTATTTTCTTTCTCGATAGGAAATGTCGAACATAAAATAAGCTCTATAGTTGCATATCTATCAAGGCTATCACAAGAAAGTAATTGCGTTCTGTCGTCATTTAATAAATACTATAATGAAGTACATCAAGTTTATTATATATCTAGATTCAACAAACTCTATTTGAAGTGAGAGTTCAAGTCTATATAAAAAAGAAATTTGTTTTTGATAAAATATCATCAAGTACGAAAAATTCCGATCTAATCGACTTTATTTCATAAACTAATCAGAATCATCTTTTTTTTTATTTCCGTTTTGAATAATCAAACCAAAAAATGATTTCTTTTTGTTTTTCTAGAAAATGCATCATCTTATGTTTGTACAAATTGTCAAACTACAGTATTAATACCACCACCTGAGTAAATATATATTTTTCTTTTGTGTATTTAACTCTAATTGTTCATGTGTGCATATATATTAGGTTAGATGATGAATCACAATCAAAAACATCTATTGATGTTTTATCTGATGACATTGAACTTGATCATCGTTTACATTTTCATTTAGCTACAGAACATTTTACTCATGATAATGAACGAATAAAACTACATTTTAAAGTAAATGACAAGAAAAAGTATTTTTTTTATTTTTATTAAATCTTTTTTTTTTTTTGTTCAAAGTGTTTTGTTGTTCGTTCAACAACAAGTAAATATTTTATTGGTCAAACTATTCTAACTGATTATGGTATTTATATATTTCAACATGAAGTGTATGTTAAATATTAAATTTTTGAATAAAAATTTATTATTTATTGACTTTGTAGATCAAATAATCATATAGAATTCGAATATGTTCTTGTTGGTAAAGATCTATTAACAAATGTACTTATGCTTGATATTGGTTATCGTTTACAAACATTTACAATTGAATTACAATCAGCTGCATTTGCTTTTATTCTTGCTGATCAACAAAAAACACAAAAAATTGTTAATCATATTCTTGGTAAAATAAAAACATTTAAGATGATAATTAAAAAAAGCACACAACTTATATTTAATCTTTGATGTCTTTTTTTTTACAATTTTTGTAGAAGTTCTTTCACCTTTTGTTCAAAGTGGTGAAAGTGCATTACAAAAAATCAGTCGTATTAGTTCAGATGAATATCGACAACGTCTATTTGATATAATTAAAATTGAATGTAATATTAATGAACCAAATGATGATATGATTGATTTTTATTCAACTATGATTCGAATGGATCAAAGTTAGTTCAAAGATTTATTCGATTTAATTTTAATAAAAGACATTTTTAAGCTTTGAATATATTTAGAAAAAAAGGATAGATTTTTTATCCAATACTTTTCTTTATTCGATAATATTTAAAAGTATTACTTGATGCTTTTTAAAGACTTATATATCTAGCTATACGGATTATACTGATATTTTTATAGAGTTGATGTTTCAATCTTGCAGCGAATGTAAATATAAGTGTAGGTAGTACTTCAGTGAACCCTTTGCCAGTAACTCATTGTTCAGATTTTCAGTACTTACACCAATATTGCACATCGCTAAATATAAATGATGTTTCAATTATTTTTTATCGTGGAATTTTGCATAACCTCTTATTATTAAAGTTCCGTTAGAAGTATAGACTTACATACGAGATATAGTATGCACATAACGTTATTCAAAACTTTCATATGTATAGTTATAGACATTGAAAGAATAAATGTATTCTTGTTACTGTACATAAATATATGATAATTCCTACTCACCCATATTCAATCGATCTATAGTATCTAAGAAAAGCTCGAATAAACACTAAAGAGGTTTACTAAGATATTTCTTTTTCAACTATAAATAATTTCATACTATTGTATATAGTCCAAGTCAATAACAAAAACGATGATAGTTTATTATATTCAAATGATTTGTATTTTATTGTGTTTTTTCTTTATTGAAGCTGGTAATAGCCAAATGATTGCTTTATTACTTCTTCAAAACTGGATATTAATGATTGAAGATGCTTATGCAACAATTGATTCACGTCATGTTCGTTTACCTGCTCAATTAACATCGGAACCAGGTATAAGTCAACAATTAAAATGCGATCTTATGCATTTAGTTAATGTGGTAAGTTGCTTTTTTTATTTGCGTAAATATTTTTCATCTTTTTTTTTTTTTTATAAAAGACAAGCTATCTAAATCATCCAAAATTATTAGTCTTTGATTTTGTTGATGAATCAGAAACAAAACAATTTCGCTGGAAATTAGAAAGTATAACAAATGAAAGTAAAAATGAATTTTTGAAAAAAGTTCGAAATACTTATCAAACATTTATGGATATTTCTATGCCAGAAACATTGGTATGTCGAAAAGACAAAAAATAAATCATTTTATTTCTCAAATCAACCTGAATTTATTTTTTAGGAAATGCTATAATAAACAAACAAACAAACAAACATTCATTTAAAATTCATATTTATGTGTGTGTGTTTTGACTGTGTATTGTTTTGTTGCAATCTATTTTTCCCTTTTGTATATTAATCTTACAAAGAAAATTATTTTCTATTTGTTTGATTAAAATCTAATAAAAAAAAATAAGAAATATATAATTGAAATATTTTAATTTTAGAAAATCAGAAAAATAATAATTAATGTGTGATCTATTTCAAGCTAATCCATGGAAACCATTATTATGTACAAATTGTCATCAAAATCGTTCAGGTCATCAAATAATTGATATAAATGAAAATAAATGTGAACATATAATGTCAGATAAATCTAAAGAATTACCATCATCATCTTCATCAATGCATCTTTATGAAGAAATTATGGCACAATATTTTACAATCAATACAACTGATGTAAATACATTACAATCAACATCTGTTATTGAATGTTTACCAACATCAAATGAAAATAATAATAATAATAATATTGATGATATTGATGATGATTCATTTTCTGATGAAGAACAAGATTTAATAAAGCAAACAGTACCTATTGAATTTATACAAAATCAATCAATGATTAATACACAAGGTATTGTTCTTATTGGACCTGATTTACGAACAAAACAAATAACAACAAAAAAACAAAAAAAAATTAATTTATTAAAAAAAAGTAAAAGTAATGCTGATGAATGTTTGAAAAAAACCGATATAACCGATAATAATAATAATAATACTTCAAAATTATGGTGGTTTAAAGTAAAAAAAACAAATTCATCTTCAATTGTTCAAAATGAATCAACAACTGATTCAAATAAACCAAATGTATATCTAATTGTTTAATTGTTAAAGTAAATATTTTCATTATTATTCTTCTTTTAGATTTCAAGTCCAATATTGAATAGTCAAAATCAACAAGCAAGAATTCGTGTTTTACCTGAACTCAATAAATTAACATTGAATGAAGGTATACTTGTTGATTAATATATTTCATCGCATAGATTATAAGCAAAAAAAAGCTATCAGTGCAATCCCTCTGGAATTAAAATGTGAAGCTCAATGTAGCTGCTTTTGCTAATCACAGGAGAATACTTCAAAGAAGTAATTCAAAATGTTAGAACCAGTTGTTATTGATATACAATCTGTGAAGGTCTCTGGTGAACGTCTGTTGAGGAGGGGTGAAGGTTTCAATTTGTACCCTATATACTTCAACACTCGTTTTAGATTGTATTTCATAAAAAAAATAAAAACTTATCATCATATTATCTATTATGTAACAATAATAGAGAGTACTAGTCAGTAAAACAAGATCAAAATAACTCTGTAGTTTTTATAATAACAAGTATTTAATTCATATCCAAATAGTGATTCGAATAACCAATGAAGTTCTCTATCAAGCGAAATTTCATACTTAAACTATGAGACGAAGATTTTTCAAAAGTCAAAATTCGTTAGTTTTCAGGTCTCAGACGATTGTTAAGAGTATCATTTTTTAGAACAGAAGATTTTTAAGAAAAGACCGTAGGAAATGAGATAACCTCTTATTCTATTGAGGATTTTATGCTCTTGTACATGGTACTCTTAAGAGTCTTTTAGGACATAAAAATTACCGTGTTTGACTTTTTAGAAACCTTCCTCTCATAGTGCATCTTTGAAATTTCACTTGATAGAAAACTTCATTGACTATTCAAATTACTATTTGCCTATAAGTCCAATGCTTGTTATCGCAGAAAAAAGTGCAAAATTTTGTTGGTCTTATATTCGTGACCAATACTTTTGAAGAGACATAACCGAAAATAATATTCACACAAAAAGAAACTACTATTGAATATATATATTCAAAATATGACTTGAGAAACTATTCTATTTTAATAATTATCCAAGGTCAGAATCAATTGTTTAATTCAATCATTGAATTTTCTACACAGAAAAATTTTCTTCAATATTAAAAATGAGAAAAATGTAGTCTATCTATTTTTTATAGCCTTAAATATTGCTCGACGTCAACATTCGTTACCTAATCGTGAATCAAAATTAACTATTAATAATAAACCATATCATTTTCCAATAATTTCAACTGTACAATCTAATTATGGTTCATCAATTGCATCAACAACATCATCATCAACACAATCAAGTAATGAATATGATAGTAATCTAATAAATAATTCAACAAAAAGAGAATCAACATATTTAACAGCTATATCACCTATTGAAAAAAATCCTTCACAAGTCACCATATATGATAAAACAATTAAATTAACTATTGAACGTATAACGTATGATCTTCGAATGATTATTGAAGAATATAAACATAATCTTCCAGTAGCTGGTTTTCAAACATTAAAATCATTTCTTCATCAACATCAATTATCAAAAATATTATCAAATGAATCAATTTATTTTTTACTTTTACAAATTCTTGATGAATTTTCTCATAATTCAACTCATACAATAATAACATTTGATCATTTTCTTATTGCTAGTCATTCAACAATACCTATTATTGTAACAACAACATCATCAGTTATAAATGAATATGAATCAATTGAACAACTTATTAAAAATTTAGCTAATAAATTATTTGATTCATCATCATTACCAATATTTAATAATCTTTCAACATTTGAAAATATATCTTATCGTTATTTATCTAATCAAATATTTCAACTTTCTAATATTGATATAGATAATAATATATCAATGCAACGTATTAAATTACTTAATTTATTTTGGAATAAAATACAATCATTACGACATATTCAGATAAATGAAGATAATGAACGTGTCATTTTTGCACTTTATTATCTTATGAGATATATTTCTCAGTCAGATGATTTTATTTAGATATATTAAAATCAAATTTGTAATAATCTTATCTCAGGAGTTATGTTTTTGTCTTCAATGATCTCAGATAAATGTTGTTTTGTTTATGTGTATTTTGTGCATTAGGGTTTGCTTTGAATATGTCTAGTTTTATGTATTGTTTCTTTGTGGCCATAGTGCATGTTTTAGTATTTATTATAAAGCTCAATTCATCACGAATAAAAATAATTTTTTTTTTCACATGAATAAATTAAATGTTAAATATGAAAAATATAAATATTTCTTAAAAGAAATTATCCATTATGTTACATTCGAGATTATTTCTCAAAAGTTCAGTGTAAACAAATGTAGATGTTATTAAAAAAAATAGCATCATTTTGATAATATTCACTATGATTTTCATAAAAAGTTTACTAATTTAACTATTGTTATCTTTGCTTGTTAATTGACTCTTTGTATTTAACATGTTAGTGATGTTCAAAGGCGGCGAAACGTTTTTAATCTAGCGTGGAGTCAACAATTTTTATAGAATCCCCACCAAAAAATAAAGAATAAGCAAGGGTGGAATGACGGAGGCGAACCTTTTTATGACATTCAGTCGAAACACTGCGCTTCTTATTTGCAATTCAAATTTTTCTCTATATAAAGCTGCCACGACTCAGAAAAAATCGCAACTTACATAAAAGAATGTCCATTAAAAGAAACACACCAATATTTGCTATTATTTAATTTTGATTCTCAAGAGACAAGTTCTCAGTCTGCTTCACTGAAAAACAAAACAATAGTAAAGCAGCAGTGTTCACAAAAAGAAAAAGAAGAATCACATGATAGGTTTCATCACCTTGTTGAAAATGTTTCTTAGGTATGTCAACTCAATCATTGGAGGCGAAGGAGGCTTACAACAATTTGTAGTTTATCAAATTCAAGTTTTCCGCACAATTGTTCTTCATTTGTAATGAAGAAGCACTAACCCAAGTCATTAGTGATGGCATCTAGGATATTCATCAGCCTACTCAAATTTCTTGGCTCCATCATCTGTAGTTGTGTTCGATCATGAAGTACACAAAATTTTTATAATTTATCATTGATTTTTATCAGTCTGAACTTGATTTTAGAAATTCGTTTTTTTTTGAGTCAATTCAGTATTTATTTTCAATAGTGATAACCGAAATACTTTTTAGAGAAACGATTAATTCAGTTTGAACTTTTTAAAAATGGAGTCGGTTCAGTTTCCAGAAAAAAACATGAACCGATCCCACCTGATCAAATATAATTGTGATGTTTTCGTTTTGTTTACTTCAGTTATCATTGTGTTCTCAATAGGTTAGAGTTTCTCCCTATGCGCACATATCACTTTAAAAAAAAGCAAAAATGAAATACTCTTTTCTCTTCAATACATTTGTTTCTGTCAACAAAACACAAATCAATTGCATTTTCTTTTAGCACAGTCAAGATTCTTTCGCAAACCTACAAGATTGGGATGATTTGCCGGCACAGAACGTTGTAAAATACTCAGTGCTCGTTCATAAAATGAAAGTGCTTTCGAATAGTCACCCATGTTATCATACACCAAACCAATGTTATTGTAAGAAGTACCCAAATGAGGATGATTTGAAGGAAGAGTTTTTTGTTGAATTTCTAGTGCTTTTTGATGAGATGAAAGCGCATCCGAATAGTCACCCATCTTGTTATACACCGAACCCATGTTGTTGTAAGATCGAGCCAAATAAGGATGATTTGAAGGCAGAGTTTTTTGCAAGATTTCCAGTGCTTTTTGAAGAGATGAAAGTGCATTCGAATAGTCACCCATGTTGATATACACTAAACCGATGTTATTGTAAGCAGCGGCCAAATAGGAATGATTCGAAGGAAGAGTTTTCTTCCAAAGGTCCAGTGCTTTTTGATGAGATGAAAGTGCTTTCGAATAATCACCTATGTTGAAATACACCAAACCAATGTTATTGTAGGAATTAGCCAATTGAGAATGATTTGAAGGAAGAGTTTTTTGTTGAATTTCTAGTGCTTTCTGATGAAATGAAAGTGCGTTTGAATAGTCACCTATGTTGTTATATACCGAAGCAATGCTCTCATAACAATTAGCTAAATCCGGATGACTTGATGGAAGACTCTTCTTGCGTATTTCCAGTGCTTTTTGAAGAGATGAAAGTGCATTAAGATAGTCACCCATGTTGTTATACACTAAACCGATGTTGTTGTAAGCAGTGGCCAAAAAGGGATGATTTGAAGGAAGAGTTTTTTGGGCAATTTCCAGTACTTTTTGATAATATGAAAGTGCATTCGAGTAGTCACCCATGTTATCGTACACTGAACCTATGCTATTGTAAGAAATAGCCAAGTGAGGGTGATTTGAAGGAAGAGTTTTTCGGATAATTTCCAGTGCTTTTTGATAATATGAAAGTGCATTTGAATTGTCACCCATTTGGGAATATAGCGAACCAATGTTGTTATAGGAATCGGCCAAGTGAGGATCATTTGAAGGAAAATATTTTTGGCGAATTTCCAGTGCTTTTTGACAATATGAAAGGGCATTCGAATAGTCACCTATTTTGCTGTACACCATACCAACGTTGTTGTAGGTAAGACTCAAATCAATATCCGTTGGTGAAGGAATCTTCTGTTTGATTTCAATGGATCGTTGATAATAAGTAGTAGCATTTGTATATTCACCTAGACCGTACTTGATCTCCCCGAGCATATTATAAATAGTTGCTTTTTCTTGACCCGTTGTTGTTTCGCCAAGTAGGATATTACATACGTCTTGGGCTTTATCGAACTGTCCCAGTTTAATTAACAACATACTTAAACGACTCCATCCTTCGAGATGAGGATGAACCTCTTTGCGCATTTGTTCAGTAAGAACATGAAGTTCTGGATCGTTGTCACTAGTTAATGTTAAATCGACTTGCCAAAGTCGGTTATTTTCATCTATTTGTTTCATTAATCCAATACGAAATATGGAATGCATAGAGAGGAGAATTTCTTTTTCTGCTTTAAAATGACTGACATCATGGATGTCAGCAAATGGTGCTGACGGGATGGATGGATCAATTTTCATAACGAATAAGATGCCAACAAGATCAGATGTTTGAATAGTTTTATGAATAAATCTGAGTGAAACTTGACGGTCCTTACTAGTGGATACAAAATTATTAAATGATAAAAGTCCACCTCTGATTTTGGTCAATTGATCAAACTCGACCATTGACAGTCCTTGACCACGATAAACAGTAAATGAATTCGAGGTTGGTTGTCTAGCAAATTGTTGAACATGAAGTTTGGCAATATGACTATGGAGATCACGAATGAAAAATCCCATTCTTATGATAAGATCTACTTCCATCATTCGTAATGATCGATTCAGCATAGAATAAAGAAAGCATGGGTACGTGTACCACCATATCGGAACATGTTCGCGATATTCTCGTTCGAATTTGTCGAGATTTTGAAGTTCTTTCGGATTTGCGGCAAGTAATTGACGACAAAATGTACTGAATTCATTGATATGGTGTTGTTTGAAATCGATAGTTAATAGAATTTCCTTCATTATTTGTGTATACATAAACGATGAATCCAATTGATCGAGATTTCGCTTGTTGTTTTCACTACATGTGGCTATAAAACTGATCGATATCATGTTTTGATCATATTCCTGCGCTGCTTCTTGAAGATCTTTACAGATAGGAGCAATATCTGTAAAGACTCCTTTTATTTTGGGCCAGACTTTGACCCAACCTTCATGTTCAGCTTGGTTTTGACTAAAAACATAGATAGTATTGATTTGTGGAATGTCGTGAACGATTGGAACAGTTGTTTGCCCGAAGGTACCAGACACGATCATAAATATTTTCTCTTCTTGAATATCAGTTATAAAATCAATGCATTCATTCACATCAGTAAATGGATGTATATTGTACACCACTTCCCCTAATCTGCTAATGGTATTGATACAATAGTCATTATTCGTGTTATCGATTTTGGCATCGAACCACACCAGGACAAAGTTCTGAAGTATACGAACATAAGAAGGTTGTCCTAGCATTATGCTCGTACGTTCAGATGACATGGCAGTAGCAGTTGTTGTTGTTGTTACCGGTTTTTTTCTTTTGTCCATGATGTGCGTGATGTTTTATCAATGAAAAAGTAAAATAAAATGACTTGAATATATATAGTACTTCGGAACTTTTTCGGATATTTCCTTTTTTTTTGATTGTTTTTGTCGTTTGAGCTCTTATTTTTTTTCATTTCATTCAAGTGTTTCACTTCTTTTTCTGTCGGTTATCGCCTCTGCAAGTATAAAACAACGAATGAATAAAAAGCTCATTGCAACATAATTTCATACTGTGTCACATTTCATTTTCTTTTTTTTTATGTCTGGAAATTTCTTTTTTCTTTCTCCTTATGTCATTGTAAACGAATTTGTGCATAGAAACAGAATAGTGCACATTGTTGTTTGAACATACATGGTGAATTCGTGTTTCAGTAGGTTCTTTCTACTCAATCGAGTGTTCAGTATTAGACGAAGTGGATGAAAGTATAGGTAGAAGATTGTTATTGTTGTTAAGAGTTTTTTTTTATTAAGGAATATTCAATCAATTTGAACATAAGTTGCAAAAAGTATTTTTTGCATCCATATTCTCATACTATCCTTAAGAAAAAGCTAACTGAACTTATCATCATTCATTTATTTTAAAAACGAGACAGATCGTTCATGATATTTCTCTTTGGTTACTTGATTATGTTGTTGCAATTTGTATCCTGTTTCAAAATTTGTTCATTTTGTATATTCACTTTGAGACTCAAACTGAACTCATCGTTTAATGAGATAATAAAACTTTCAAATTGGTTAATGCTTGTATTTATTGAAAATCAATAGATATTATATCAAAAATCTACGAAATTTATAATTACTGATGTACGAGAATTCTTAACTAAGTTTTCATTCATTTTTATTGATTTTTCTTTATCTCTAATTGATTCGGATTCCCTATCACTGAGAGAAATAGAATGTACGTGTGAAGAAAAATGCATTTGCAGTTGACTGTATATATATATATTATGGAACTACTCTAAAAAACTCCTAATAGGTCGTACCATATAAAACCATTTTTTATGAGAATCTCTGACCAACTGTTATTATATGTGGTACTCGAAGGAAATAACTTCATTATTTATCTGGTTTCAAAGATATTCTGAAACTATATTAACTAAGCAGTCGAAGTCTACTGCACCGTCAAATAAACAGAAATCATGAATTTGTGGTTGAACATCGAACAAAATTTTATTGAATTGTTTTGAGTAGAATTTATGCTCTTACTAAAACTATATATAGAAATTTCAAGTCAATCGGAATGGAAAACTGCACAAGAAAAAAATCACATAAAAATTAACTCATACACTGTTTTTGAAAACAAAAAATCATTTTGACGTGATCTTCATCTAATCAAATGGAAAAAAGACATCAGCTAGCACTATGACCCTCTAATTATGCTCTACAACTTTTATCAAACCAGGTCTAAAGCTAAATCTGGATACAAATCAGTACCCGAAAAAATAGAATTTTTTGGACCCAGCTAGAGCCTGATCTAGAAAGGCTCTCTACTCTCTATCCGTAGATGCTAAAAATTAACTAATATCTTTGTAAGAATTAAACAATTTGAGTTTAGTTGTAATGCCATGAATAAAGTTTTGAATCAAAGCTGTTGTCCTTAGATTATTAAAACAGCGCTATAGAAGGACTATTGTAAAGATCCGTTCAACTATGAGAAGAAAGATGGCTGTAAAATTGTCGTACCATATTGTTTTGTTTTTTGCTGATGTTAGATTTACTTTTGCAAACAAAAGATAAGAAAGAGCATGTCATATTTAAGCAAAGTGTACTTTAAATGATGTCACAGACGTTTTTTCAAACGACAACACAACTAGACGATGTCAAAAACATGACCTTCTACATTTTCTAGTCAATGCAAATCGATTCTCATACTACACATCTCGCACAAATAAATATATTAAGATTGTCAGAATATAAATAGACAACTAATGAATTTGAAATCAAAATAATTATTTTCATCATGTTAAAAAATCATTGAAGAATGTTATTATATTAATATCTTTTTAATTATTTAAATTATTTTTTTCTCATAACTCTACAGCTAATGATTTTTATTATTTCTTTTAATCATCAATACAAAATGAAAGTGTATAAAAATTATTTAAGTGATTTAAGACTTTATCCTATGAACAAATACTATCTCGAATATAAATTTATCATATCACTTTAAAATATACCTAAGCAACGCATTGCAATATTGAAAGACAGATTGAAGTACCATGAGAAACATCTTGATATATAATTTGAACAGTTTTTCATTAGTGTCTTGTCTATTGACAATACACTGATTACTTCAAATTTTCAAGAGTTTCATAACGAGAAGAGTAATGTAAGTGTAGTTCATTGTGTCTTTTTAAGTTCATATAAACTTTTAATGAACTTGCAATAAATATTATTGACTCAGATCTACTTTTTCAATTATATCAGTAATAATAATATTTTCGTTTAATTATCAAAAAGAAAAGATAATTTATTTAAGAAAAAAAAGTCATAGAAATTTTTTATTTATAAAATTAACGATATAAGTCAAGTGGTGTACATTGAGGATCCATTTGATACATATCTTTGTAAAGTGCTTTGCCTTTACTATAGAATTCTTGTTCATAAACTCGTTGTTCATTTTGGAGTAAGGTTGCTAGAGCTGCTCGACGAGCCTATTTAATAATTACATCAAAAGTATTAAAAAAAAATAATTTTTTCTTTCGTTCATATCATAAGTATTTCTTTTCTTAGGCAGGAATCTTCCAATCTTGAATATCACTTTTGAGTTGGAACTCTGTACATAAGGTAGACTCCAATCGGATGTTAAAAGTTCCAAAGAGAATAATAGCCTTTAGACTTCTCTCCAAAGTTATAGCCTTATAGTTTGATAGTATACCGTACTACAGGCAAAAATATCAGTAAAACGACTATAACCTTTTAGAAAAAACTTAGTGACCTTTATCTTTTGAGGCGTTTAATACCTCATTGGATCCTACCTTATGTACAAAATCTGAACCCAAAAGCAATTTTCAAATTAGGAAGATTCCTGTGTTAGGAAAAAAAGCTGTTAGCGCAATCCCTTGCGGGATTAAAAATGTGAAACACAATGGATCTATTGTTACTAGTTAAATGGAAATTGTTTTGTTCCATTTCTTTGCGATATATTTGTATCTAACGGTTTATCTAATGCTTTAGAACTACAGTTTCTCTGTTACGATCTGTGATGGGTCCCAAGCCCTGTCTATCCCGGTCTGTGATGGATCCCAGGCCTGTCTGTCACGGTCTGTGATGGGTCCCAAGCCCTGTCTGTCACGGTCTGTGATGGGTCCCGGGCCTGTCTGTGACGGAGAATTACCTGTCTGTAACGGTCAGTGAGGGAGGAATCATCTATGCGTAACGATCTGTGACATTAAAATTAACTATTTGTAACGGTCTGTAACGGTCTGTGACGGGGGAATTACCTGTATGTAACGATTTGTGACGGGGGGCAGCGTCTGTCTGTAACGGTCTGTGGGGGTACAAATTTCTACCCTAAACACTTCAACACTCCTTTCAGGTCGTGTTTCACAAAAAAGATTGACATTTATAGATGTATCTTCGTTACTATAACATATCACACTTTTAAACATATTTGAAAACGTACAGTAAGATGAGCTTTGCGAAGTAATAATAGTTCTTGTTGGCGTTGTTTATTCACTGCTGATTCTCGTAATGCTACATTGGACCAAGCTGATTGTTCTACCCATTTAGCTTTAAATTGTTGATATTTATTTCTAAAATATCATTACATTGATAATTATGAAAAAAAAATTTCTTCAATTTTTAATACAACATAATACATAATATTGTTAAATATGTTTTAAATAATCTTACTGTTCAAGTTGTTTCTGTTGTTTGAAATAAACTTCTTCAATCTAATTAAAAATTTTTGAAAAAATGAGTTTCATTAGTATTAATTAATAAATTAAATTTACTTGAGCAGCCTGTTGCATTCTTAAAGCACTATTATCCGGTTTTCCTTTATTCATTTCATATCGAAAAGATGTTGACATCAATCGATCTTGAGTTGAAACACCAACAGATGGTTTTTCTAATCAATATAGAAACAAACAACGAATTTTTCTCAAGAATCTGACAGCAAGAAACATAATTACCTTGTTGAAACATTTTGTTTTCTATTATTATTTATTCGTTTATCTAGAACAAATTTTTGCAATAATTTTTCTTGTTTTAAAATAAAGAATAAAAAATCATCATTTTTCTAACTATTAACATCAACTTTATATTATTAACCTGAAATCGAAACCATGAAATATATTCCATTTATATATTCATTCTGCATCAGTTGTGAAGCAACAAACATATTTCAGTTCTTTCTTTTTATTGGTTACATATTAAGAATCAATCAGATGTCGTTTTCTGCTATAAGCAGTAACCAACATTTACGACTGCGCATATTACTAACCATATCTACAGTCGAACCTCGCGACCTAAGAAAAAAAAATAAAGAAAACAAAATTTCTTTTTTTGTATTATAGCTCTTACAAAAAGTTATGGCATCTCAATCTTCAAATGAAACTAATGAACAAAAATCACATGATGATAATGAACAAAATACAAGTGAGGAATTAAATAATGAAGATCATATACAACGAAAACGTATTCGAGCAGGTTCTCATCCTGATGAAGATTCTGAAACTAAGAATACTAATGATAATAAAAATGAAACTCTTAATGAAACATCGCCAACATCTATTGAAAATCATGAAATATTAGATAATAAAAAAATAACAAATAATATTGGTCCAATAAAACGACGTAAATTAAATGTTGATATTGAAGAAATGATTGATCAAGATGAAAAAACAAATGATTCTATTCAAACAACAACAACAACAAATAGTGAATCAAAAGATGAATCTTCAACAACAACAGCAACAACAACTGATGAAGATGATGATGATGATGAAACAAAGAATGATGATGATGATGATGACGAAGATAATATTAATGAACAAAATAATTTACCATCAACAAAAAATATTTATTTACATTTACGACAACGTCAACTTGGTATATTTCACCGACCAAGAGATCGTGCAACATGTCGAGCTTTTCATAATAATATCATAGCTAGTCGAAATGTTGTTCAACGAATGAAAGTTTCACATACACTTGATGCACATAATGGTTGTGTTAATGCTTTAGCATTTAATAGAACTGGTAATAAAATTTGTCATCTTTGAATTTATTTTAATTTAAAAAAATATTTTTATAGGAACATTATTAGCAAGTGCTTCAGATGATTTACAAATTATTTTATGGGATTGGGCATTAAATCAAGCAGCTGTTGCCTATGAAAGTGACCATCATAGTAATGTTTTTCAAGTAAAAAACAGGCTGTATTTTAATGTATACAAAAAATTAAATCTTTCTTTTTTTTTTTCATTAGGCAAAATTTGTACCTTTTTCAAATGATTGTAAAATTGTAAGTTGTGCACGAGATGGTCAAGTACGTTTAGCTGAACTTCATCCAGATGGTTCATTATGGCGTACAAAAAAAATTGCTCAACATTTGGCATCAGCTCATAAAGTAATTAAAATAAAAAAAAAAAAAAACCAAAAAACTAAAACTTTTTTTTTTTCTTTAGCTTTCAATTGATACAATAACAGGTACTGATATATTTTCATGTGGTGAAGATGGTATTATTTATCAAATTGATATTCGTGAAAATAAATCGAATAAGTATTATATTGTTTTGTTTTTTTCTTCGTTAATTGATTATTTATTTTTTGTAAATTAGATTATTAACAGTGAGTAGCGAAACATTTAATAATTTACCTCTTTATTCAATTGAACTTAATCGAAATAATCAAAATGAATTTGTTGTTGCTGCTATGGATCCATATATACGTATATTTGATCGACGATATATTGATTCAGTTACAACAAAGCCATTAAAAACTTTTTGTCCAGATTTATTAGTAAGTTAATTTTAAAAAAAATACAAAACAATGTTAAAAATAATATTTTTTTTTCTCTTATTGTAGAAGAAAATTGAAGAGCGTCAAAGACAACCATCAGTTACATGTGCTGTTTATAATTATAATGGCACTGGTTAGTACTTGACACAAAAAGAAAATGAAAACAGATTATCGAAATCATTTGTTTGCATATTTTACTGTTTAACTATTAACGAATGAGATATTTTTATTTCATCATAAGATATTAATATTATATCAATGTCAATCTTGCTGAGACTGACGAGGAAATCTTTCCGATGAATAATTTTCGTTCAGCCGATTGTTTAGAGTCGATTATGCAGATAAAAGTATTAAAAAGGGTATGTGATATTTGCAGTCGTGTGGAATTTTATCACCTAAATTTCTGCATTTTGTTCAGTTTCCGTCGGAATTTTCAAAAGAAAAAAACAGTATTCTTGAAATTTTTGTTTAGCATAGTGGAATGAAACAAGAATATCAGTAAAACTTTGTATTTTTGACAATTTATCTAATTTCCTACCGGAATTTTAACAATATTTTCATTGTCAAAAGTCTGACAGGAAATTAGACAAATTGTCAAAAATCAGGTGGCAAAATTCCGGTTTACTTATCTCGTACTATTCTGTAATAGACATAAAATAATCATAACTCAAGAGACAAAAAGCATTAATAATACATATCCTTTTTAGGACTTTTATCTACATAATAGATTCTTTCAATAGGTAAAGTATAAATTCAAACAAAGTACACATAAGTCAGGAAAAATTAAACTAAGTTTTTAAAAGATGAGAATAAAGAATTAATCTTATGCATTTATATGAAATTATATTCAAGTCTAATTACCTCTAGAAAATTGTAGTTATCTGGTTTGTCCTAGCAAGTTCCGACCAAAACAAAAAAAGACAAAATCTTTAAACTTGTACAAAGTTTTTTTTTTTATCAATGTTTATTTGTCTACCAATTTAACCCGATTCATAGATGATTTCTAATGCATAACGAAGGGGAAAAGTTCCAAGTCAAACATTTTTTTAAAAAAATGTTCTTCCAATTGGAAAAGTCTGTATTTCTGAATTATTTTGTGTTACATGAATAGATTGAATAGGAGCAAAGATACATCAAGATATCTATCGATATCAGCTTTGGTAAAATTTGTTAGATCTTTTCTTAATTCTTTAATCAAAAAAGTCTTCAGAAATTAGGCATGAACTGAATTCTTTTTGCATTATTTATTCAAAATGTCTCATGTTATAGAAATTTAGCGGAGAAAATAATTCACAAAACCTATTTTTTCAACCATTTCAAAGCGATCACGTAGTAACAACAACAAATTTACTCAGCGATTATTTTAGAAAAAATTATATTATTTTGACATAATTACTAAGTAAATTTAACTGCCTATAAATCATTGAAAAGAGCACTTTTTACGCTATAAAAATCAACATTAAACGTGATTTTTTTCATTTTCCTTCTGATTAACAAAAAATGTTTAAAAAAACATTGCTACTCGATAATAAAATTGCAAGAGCTTGTCTCTAAAGTATTCGATTTTTGACTTAACCTCTTCGTCAGATTTGGCTAAAAATGAAAATGACGTTTTTTCAAGATTCAAATATACAGAAATATACTTCGAAATAATAGTCTGTTTAATAGTATAAATAATATTGTCACAACCCTCAAAGAAACTGAAAAATCAATTGCCTGAAAATCGTGATGTCTGTAGAAATATTGATATCTAATAAAATAGATTTGTTTGACAAACAAATCAAGTGTATTTTTCTGAATCTTCAAGTCTAGCTCTATACAATACTACAAAGTGTTTTTTAATTTACACGTTTAACTTTTACGAAAAAAAAATAATATTTTTTTTGCTACAGTGTGTTTCGAACTGCTAGTCCCCTTAAAAAGGCTTTTCTGCGTCATATTCAATCACATCCGAGCGAAGTAAGAAAATTACATGTCCACCTGGCACGCGAAAAATGCACACTGTAGGGGGTATCCTATTGTTAACTTTTATTGGCCTTATGTGATCTTTGTGACAGAATAATAAGTGTTTTTTTTGAAACTTAACATTTCAAAAAAATATAAACTGTTGATTCGCTTGTTAATAAAAGAAAACTTGTTATTGTTTTGTTTTTATCAATAGAAATTCTTGGTACTTATAATGATGAAGATATTTATTTATTCGATGCAACACATTCAGATGGTGCGGATGCTATTCATCATTATCGCGGTCATCGAAATAGTAATACAGGTTCGTGAATAATTTCGTAGAAATTGATATTAGATTTCTTTGGCTTTTTTTAATTCAGTGAAAGGTGTTAATTTTTATGGTCGTAATTCTGAATATGTTATTAGTGGAAGTGATTGTGGTCATGTATTTATTTGGGATAAAAATTCGGAAAAATGTATTTGGTATGATAAAGGTGATGATGATGGTACAGTAAATGTTCTTGAACCTCATCCACATTTTCCAATAATTGCAACAAGTGGTCTTGAACATGATATTAAAATATGGGCACCACTTAGTCAAGAACCAGTTGACTTTAAACGACTCAAAATAGTATGAGAACATTTAGAGAAAAAAAATATTAAATTTTTGTTCTTCTATTCATAGTTAATGAAACGAAATACTCGTGAACGTGAACATGAACTTCATTTTGCTAGCGTACTTGATACAGATACAGGTGGTTTATTACGTTTAATGCGTCCAGTATTTCGAAGAATTGTTCGACGAGCTGTATGAATTTTTTTTCTTAATTCAAATAAAAAATTTTCTTTGATTGTTTTCATTAAGCATGCCGATGGTGAACAAACAAATGAAGATGATGATGATGATGATGATGATGATGATGATGATGACGATGACGATGATAATGATGATGAAGTTTCAAGACGTGCTCGACATATCTATTCATTTGATTGTGCACCATCATAAAATCATTTCTATTGTTGTTTGTTTTTTTTTCGCTTTTATTTTTTTTTTCAAAAAACAGAAATCAATCATAGTAGTATATGATTACAATCAAGTGTATGATTGCCTTTCGTATATTTTATGTATATTATTATTTATATGAAGATTTCTTTTTCTTTTTGTTTAGTTCACCTTGATCATGATGAACGTTCCATCATGTATTTTTATGATGTATTTGATTGTAAATATTTTCCCTTTTCTCGTTTTTTAGGAGATGACAATAAAAAAAACAAAGCATCTCCAAAATTGTATATTGATTTGTTAGAAATTTGTTTCTAGATTATTAAAATAAGAAATTAAATCATAATAAGATTTTAATAATCCTTTCATATTTTAATTCTATTGAAAACAAAAAAAGATTTTTTTATGAAAATATTAATTTTGTTAAAAAATAGCACAAACCTATTCCATAGATAACACTCAATTAGGTATATCTCGATCGGAAGGCTACGACATCCTCGTAATCAAGAAAACTGTTTGTATTTTCTAGCAGAGCCGAAAATCTTATGTGCGTTCTCTTTCAAAACAGTCTTTGTACTCTCGAGTGTTCACTGGTTCTGGCTAGCCCTGCACTCAACTTGAAAACCACTGAGAGAGAGCAAAAATTGATTGTTGGCTTCCCAGAGATTGAACAAAATTTTGTCTCATAGTATATCTTTCGATTAACATAAGAGAGACAAAAACCATCAACCTACACTGATGCTATAAATATACTAGATTTTAAATACTTATAAATAGAGTAAATTTCTCATTTTATGATCCAAAACAAGATTCGGAAATCCGTAATCAGAAGTTAATTAAAAATGAGTCATCGATTGATATTTGCCACGAATACAGCCTGCCGGCTCCAAATCTTTTGGAGCCAATCGAACCGTATACTGGAACTTTCAATGAAATTTTCTAATCGGCATTGGCTAATCTCACTAAAAATACAAAATACCGTGTTTCCGGGTTTTTTTTATATACAGTGACTAGCGCATCCTATACATTTCTCAGATGACAAGAGTCTCTTGAGTCCAAAATTTTCGGACCTGGACCCAACGAGCCCTAGTCGTGACTGCTTAAATCGTTTATTTTTTGCATTAAAATTCAATTGTACTGCAAAATTATTTGTTTTTGTTGTTAAATATCAATCATCAATCATTTATTTTTATCAAGATTTGAAAAAGTCAAAAAAAAATCAAAAAAGAAAAATTACACTCGTATGACTGTTATCAAGATATATATATTTATTTATTTATTTATGACAACTGATTTTTTGACTTAAATGCTTTGTTGTTGTTTTTTCTTCAACAAAAAAAAAGATATCAATAAGTACGAAGAAACAAAATATATAGAATTAAAAATCAAGTTTATACAAAGACAATACTAACAATAGACTCATAAACATACGGAAATCAAAATTGTCAATTTATGTACATATTTTGATTTTATTTACGTTGATAGCATCAATGGAATGATTAATTAAGTATTTCATGTTTATTATAGACTGATTGTCGTTGTTGTTGCACCTGAAAAAAAAGCCACAAAACTTTTCATTAAGAAGAAAAAAAAACAGAAATATTATTAATACTTGTTTTCTCCATTTTGATTGTTCATGTGTAACTAAATTTAAAACAGTTGATGAACGTTGTGGATTACTTTGTAAAGCAGTTGCAGCTGGTTCACTAAATACACATTCTTGTGCTGGATTAGATAAATTAACTTCTTCATTAACTTGTCTTTGATATTGTTTTGGTGGTCGTACTGTAGTTGATGGTTTTGTATTTTGATTCATTAATGGATCAAGACAAAGTAAAAATGACATATAAATAAATAATAATGATATAGCAACCATTATTATAATAACAACAACCTAGAAATGAAGAAAACTAAATTATTTAATATTTTTTTATTTGTGTTGAAAACGTACTTTCATCGTAGTTGTATTGCGTACTTCATAATTACAAACACATCTTCAGAAGAAGAAAAAGAACGGAATAATTTAGTTATTTAGGCTTGGTTTAAAAAAAAAAACGTTTTTTTTACCTTGGACAAAAACGTTGTTGAAAACTAGGTGATACTTTCATTGTACGAAAAACAACACGTTCACATGTACAATTATCTGGTGCAACAACATCAACATAAACACGACGATTTGTTTCATTTACTGGTGCATCTTGTAAAACAGTAAATGATGGACAAACACATCTGCATCGATAATCTTCAAATTCATCACCACAATTAACAACGAACCATAATGATGACGAAAATATAATTAATAGAATAAGACGATTCAACATTATTTTTTTTTCCTTTTCTCTTACGTAAATGTGAATAACAAAAAAGAAAAACAACACAAAGATCTAAAATAGCGTAAAAAATGTTTTTTAATTTTCCTTTAAGGAATAAAATGTTACGCTTGAATAAGTAGAAAAATCGAGTCTAGCGTACAAGGTAAATGACACTTTATATAAATGATTGATTTTATCAATTCAGAATAGCATTTTTCAAATGAACAGAACAAAAGGTGTCCTTTCGATAGTCGAACTTAATCATGTATCTATTTATTTATCATGAATAAATCAAATAACTTTGAAGATAGATGTCACTTAACCGATAAAAAATATAATATATTATATGAAAAATTTCAATAAAAATATTGTTTTAATGTTTATTTTCTATTTAATAAAAAAACATAAATTTATTCAATCAATTATCAAATAAATTTTATTAGAGTTTCACAACAGACATTAATGGTAATATTTCAATAAGTCTGTTTCCTTGCCCTCTTCTCCCTCTCTCAACCACTCCTACACTTCATGTATTGTTATTCTCTTGAAAAAAGAAAAAGGTTTCTATTTTGTTTTCCTTTAGATCATGTGAACTTGTTCAAGTGATCAAGGTGATCGTTATCCTTAATAAATATTCTTTTTTATTTCTAATCATGACAATATAATGGAAGAACCATTAGAACAAGAACATTCAATAACAAATGATGATTTAAAACCATCATCATCAACAGCAACAACTACAACGACAAAATCATCTCGTTCAACAAAACAAACAACAACAACAACAACAAATGGTACAACACGTCGTCATAAACGACGACGTCAAACAAATAGTATCCGTTCATCAAGTGATCATTCAACATCATCAAGTCGTTCATCATCATCATCAAGTCATTCATCACATATATCAATTAAGAATTCGAATATAAATGAACAAGAAATTCAAAAAACTCGTAGTTACTTAGCACAAGAACAATTACAAACAATAATTAATAAAACCAAAACAGGAAAATATGATGTTTTGGATAGTTTTGCATTTCTATCATTTGAAACTGATGATGATTGGCGTATTGCATTTGAACATTTTAATCAACAACATTTACAACGAACATATACAACTAAAAAATCTTATTCATTATCAGGAAAGAAAAATGGTAATATAATAGATCATAATTTAGATGGACATTCATTACAACGATCAATAAGTGTACCATGTAAAATTGACGATGGACATAGAATATCGAATAATTCAACATCAATTCCTATCGAAGAAACATCAATAGAAAAGTATGTGAATTTTTATTATTATATAATAGAATTGAGATTATCTATTTGTGTCTTTTCTTTTTCGAATGTTAATTTTACGGAATATGAAAACAAATAAAATAAAATATTTTTATCATTAAATGTAAAAAAAAAAAACAATCACATGTTTAGCTTCGTTGTTGAAACTATGATGACATTGTCAGATTAACTATTACTTAGTAATATATTTTTTTTTAAGTTTATTTTAATCCATTCTTGTCGAATAAGATTTAAATAATAGTCTTCTATTAATCTGGATTTAATCAATCATGTTCTTTTTTTATTGTCGTTGGTGGTTTTTTTTTTCTTCTATTTTATTAAGCAAAAATTTAGTTTCATTCTTTTTTACAATAGTCATTCATTCCAAATCATTGAATTGCAGTGCGATAGTCAATGTCAGCTCATTAGGTTACTGTAAAAATACTAAAAAAAAAAAGAAGCCTAAAGTCATTTGTATTCTTTAGGTAGACAGTTCTTCATGTCAAATCTCATGACTAATAAGTCTGTCATCTTATATAAATAAGTCTTAGTAAGATAAAAGAAGATTTATTTATTTGAATTTTATTGACTAATTAAATATTTTTTTGTTTTTTAACATAAATAATGAAAATCTATTCTGCATAGAAAATTTGTTTTCTAAAAATAAAAAAAAAATAAAATAAAAATATTATTTTAGTCATCAAACATCAATGTGGCAAAATACATCACCAAATAAAAATTCCAATGATCGTTCATTATCAACAACAACGACGACAACAATAACAACAGCAACAACAATTAAAACTGAACCAATAGATCAAACAAATCGAACAACATCTGAACATGAAGAAAATCATATCGATAATGAACATAATCAAAATTCGATAACATTATCATCATCACAAAAATCAAAAGATGATATTAAAATTGAATCTAATGAAAAGAAACATCATCATCATCATCATCATAAATCACATAAACGACATAAAACTAAACATGATCTTAGTATTAATGGTGATAGGTAAAACAAAACAAAAAATCAATTAATTTTAAATATTTATTTTATATTATTTATTTTTTTTTTTTTTTCTAGTAGTAATAAACATCCGACAATCACATCTATGTCTGATTTAGCTAAACAACATATCAAGCATGAACCCATGCCATTACCACCATCATTAAATTTTCCACCACATTTCGATCCAAAATTATTTCCTATGCATACATTTGCACAATTTGCTCCACCACCACAACATCAACCACACTTTCCTGGTTCATATGATCAATCATTAATGTTAGCTAGCCGTCTTTATAGTGGTCAATATCCACGTGATCTTCTCATGCCACCGCCACCACCACCACCACGACCACCATCACGTTCATTACAACATCCATTCTCTCTAAAAGAAAATACATCTGATACATCAATGGAAAAAATGTTTGAGAAGTATTATCCAGGTGTATTACCAAGTTATTTAGCTGCTGCTGCATCAGCAGCTGCTGCAGCATCAGCAAATAGTAATTCACCTGTATCATCATTAAATGTTAAAATGCATGGTACATCACCAAATGGTCCTGATCATCCATTATGGTCACATCGTGAAACATTACAAAGACAATATTTATCGACAACAAATAAACAATCATCAACAAAATCACCATTATTTGATACCAATACAAAATTATCATCCAATCATTCAAGTACATCACCTATAGATAATCATCATCATCATCGTCGTCATAGTTCATCAACATCAAATATTGATATACCAAATTCAACAACAACAACACCATCAACTCATCCACTTTATTTAGCACCTGTTATTGTTACAGAATTTCATCAGGTTAAAATAAAAAAAAAAAAGAAAGAAAATTTTATTTCATTTTGTTTTTGTTCTTTTAGCATCAACATAATCATAATCATACACATGAACATAAATTAAATATAACAACAAAAGAGGATCGACAATTATCACCAAGATCTAAAACACCATTATCAAATGAAAATAAAAAAATGAAAACAAGTTTTTCTGTTAATGATATGTTTATTGATAAAACATCACCCGTTATTAAACATTCACCACAACAGCAACAACAACAACAGCAACAACAAGGTTTTCTTTCTGTTATTAATAATAAAAAAGATTCAAATCAAACATCATCAATACAATTAAAAAAACCATCGAATGGTAAATGGTCAACAGCACATATACATATTGCATGGATGATATATCATCATGAACAACGACAACGTGATAAATTAAATCTTCTTAATCAAACAAATAAAATTCGGCCATCATCATCACAATCAACACTTTTACCACCACCATTACCGTTAAATGATAACAATAATGATTTATCATTACTACGTCCACCGCCACCACCACCGCCACCGCTACCACCACCACCATCAACATTTCCATTTCCATTTCCATTTGATATAAATAATTCACAACAAAATTCATTATTACGATCAACATCAACATCAAAATTACCACGACCAACAGTAACACCAACATCATCATCAATAAAAACATCAACTATAAAGCGTGAACAAAAAATACCATTTATTGATGAACGTATGCGACATACATCACCATCACCACTATCACGACCAACATCAGCATCTAATTATCTTCCATCATCACCATCACATCGAATGAAGGTAAAAGAAAAATTTTAATTAATTATTTAAAGGTTTTTTTATTTTTTTTTAATAGATGGATTTTCCCTCATTATTATTACCGCCACCACCACCTCCACAACATCAATTACAATCATTTCCTTTAAATGATGATCGAAAACGTTTTCTAACACCAACAACAGATTTTTTACCACCATTTGTTGGTCAACCACCACCGTCACCATTTTTATCACCATTTTTTCCAATGGGTGCACCGCCAATGTCATCACCTATGCCTTCATCATCATCTCGTCGTAGTGGTATAAACAGTGATTCACCAAAATCATCATTATTTCCTCCCCAAATTGATTTTACTCGATCATCTTTATTACCATCAGGACTCCCTTTACCAAATAATCATTTTGAATCTGAACGTTATCGTTTTCTATTTGAACAACATGCACGTGAACGAGATTTACAATATGCAATGATGGCAGCAGCAGCAACAGGTAATGCACCACCATCAGCACTTTTTACGGATCCAAATTCATCGGCACTGTTTAAACATTATACAAATTGAATTCTTTATTTCTTTTCTTTTTTTGTTTTTGTTTTGTTTTATATATATATCTATCATGACTTGTTTTTTTTTTTGTTTTTTTGTTTTTTTTTTCTGTCAGACGAATTCTTGATCTCTCTCTTATTCACTTCACGAATCCATGACGCAACTTATTTTTGTTTATTATTTTGCATCAACAGTGTCTTCTTCATATATCTCTCTCTCTCTCTCTTTTGTTTTTATTCTCGACTTATGAGTGTGTGTGTCTATCAATTTCATTTTCGTAGAAAAAAACAAGCAAAAGGAATCTTGATTGTTTTTTTCTCTTTCTCGCTCTCTCTCTCTCTCTTATCTGTGTTTCATTTGAATCTATCTTACTTGGGATATTTACTTCTTACTCTTCTTTATACTCACAATCGTGTTAAATATATGAAATTTTTTCATATGAGTTTGTGTGTGTGTGCGTTTGTATATGTAAATAATCTATGTGTGTATGTTTACAATTTGACAAACAACGCCAAAAATATACTCTCAATGAATGCTATAATAAGAATAATATATTCATGATCAATTGTTCGAGTAGAGAAATATATAAAGAAAAAAAAAAAGAACTATCTTGTTATTTTAATTATAAGAATCCTTATCGAGAAAGAAAAAAGTGGTATTATGTTTATTGAAGAATACAAATAATATTAATAATGCCTTCTAGGGAAACATGTCGATAATGATTCTTTTCTTTTTTTCTTCTTCCTTCTTCTTTTCCCATCTTCTTGTTTACAATGATTAAGTTGTCTTTTGATGCTATTACGAAGAAGATACTCCACGATTCTAAGCAAAAAAAGAAGCAAACCATTCATCATGTATCATTCTTCTTCTTGATAATTCTCATCGTCATATACAACGAATAAAAAAATTACACATAAGCGATATCGACTCGTTCTATGGATTAATATAAATAGGCCTAGAAAAACATCTTCCTAGCAGACAGAATATAATAATAAGAATACTATTATGAAGCTTTTACTCGTCTTCGCTTTTTTGGCATTTATTTGTGTTGTTCGAACAGCACCGACGGTAAAATTTAGTGAAAAGTTCTTGTTTGTTTTAATAATTTTATTTATTTAATATAATAGCCATCATCAACATCACGTGTACTTATTTTACCTGACTATAATGATGATGATACTGACCATGAAGATGAATATCATACAATTGCTGATGTTGGTAATAATGATGATGGTGAGAATAATAGTGACGATGATGATGATGATGAACATAAAACAACTACAATGAGAACAGTAATGACAACTTCTCGTTCAAATCCTGTATTTCCATCAAGAGGTTCAGGTTTAATACCGACACGACGACCAATACAAGTAAATAGATAAAATATTTAATAGATTGTTTTAATATTATTATATATTCAATTTATAATTTAGACTCAACGTGTATCATCAATGCGAACAACAACTAAATTTATTAATGATGATTATGGAGAGGTTGTTGATGAATATGATGGTGATTATAAATATATACAAGATTTACGTCGATATCTTCAACGATTTATTGAAGAGTTTAGAAAAGTGCTTCGAAAAATAACTGGCTCTAATGACAATGATAAAACACAACAAGATCAAATCGATCAATATGAGGACTAAATACAATTCAATCAATTTATTTACTAAATGTTACAATGCTTTCTCTTTTGTAGTTATTTTTAGATAACTCATTAGACCAAAAAAAAATATTTGTATATAACTGTTATATATTATTTGCATGATATGATCTACTCTTATTTTGTTTTGCTTGATATAAATAAAAATATTTTATTATTTTAAAAACTTCAATTGAAACAAAGAATATATTATTTTATAAAGATATACAAGAATTATAAATAATATGTGCAATATGAGTATCTTCTTTTTTCTTGCATAGATCTATCCCACAAAATAAACATTTCCCTTGTTTTGTTTAAGTACAACTTAACACTGAATTCTAAAAATATTCAGACATATATGAAGAATGACACATAGGAAATTACTTGTTCTTCTACTTATCGTCTCCTGTCATATATTTCTTTATTAATAATAAATACTGTAGTTTATTATTATCTAATGCATATGTGAAAAACAAAAGAATTTCAAATCGGAAATATTTTTCAATTAACATGAGTTCTTTTCTCATTAATCCTATACATCTATATTTGATAACATATTATTAATTATTAATCGTTGTATTATTTTTATTCTTTGCTTTTATGCATATGATAAAAAAAAGAATATATTTTTTATGAATCATCTATTTTTGTTCTTACATTACAATATGAGTATTTTCCCTGAGATAGAATACGAACTTTGCACTCGGATACTTCTATCGTCTTGGGTCATGAAGATCTTATTCTTTCCTCTCGTGATTAATTTGTCAACATTTATTATATTTTTCGTTGACACATGAAAAAGTTTGTGTCAATCAAATATTTGATGTAAATATCGATTTTCAATTATGCAATTAGAAACAAAAAAAAACAGATTAATTCTATTGATGATTATGATAAATGAAATACATAAATTTGTCTTACAATTCAGGTGAAAACAATTAACATTTATATAATGTCACATGTCATTTTATTCAACAAATATTCTCAATAAATTTTATATTACTGCTTGTAAATAAGCTTTTGACATTTTACTTTAGCAAATTTTCATTTTTTTCCTTATTTCAATAGTAACATACAAAAAATTGCTTTTCGTCTTCTATTCAAACCAGTTTATTTATCTTCGAAATAACAAAAAAAGGAGTAAAACAAAACCTACAATTTATTTCAAATAAATTGATGATCGATCAAGAAAGATAAGTATCAATTTACAAATATAAAAGAAACAAAAACGAATAATGTCCTTAGAAACTCAACGACGATTAATATTATCTGAATGGCGAATAGTTTTAGTGAGTCAAACATCATATCCTCTTATGTATAGAATTGCACGAGCACCACAATCTGAAGAAGAATTACAATGGTTTTCAGCAAAATATGCTATAGTTAAAATTCCATTAGGTAATCGAGTTATTACCAAATGGCAAGAGCAAGTACGTCCAATAGAGGATGGCAATGATCAATGGTATGTCGTTCGTGAATGGACTGAAGCAGAAATGTAACAAAACTTTATACTTTTTTGTTTTATTTGAATAAAAATATATAAATATTAGTGTAGATGAATAAAATTTAAAAAAAAATACATAAGAACAAAAGTCACCATAATTTATTGATAATTTTTATGTAAAGAAAGTTCGCTGTAGTACAATTTTCTAATGATATTCTTGAAGGAAAAATGATAAACTGATGCAATAAATATTCTAATCAGGCGCGAAGGTTAAGTTTCAGTGTGCAGTGCAACCGAGAAAAGAGAAAAAAAAATTAGAAATGAATATATTCATATTGATCGATATGAATAAAAAAAAATGGTGGCGCAATTTTTTTATTTTACACCCATTCGTTCTGTAGATTGAACGGTATGGGATAATGTCACTGGTCATGCATCGATGCCCTACCTGGGTGTCTTATTTTTTTTTGCCATAAAAAAAGACTATATATTAAGGAGAGAGTCTGTATGAACATCAAAACGTACTTGAACTATAATTTTGTTGTATTTAATGTATGAACAGTAGTATACGACGAAAAGTGTGATATTTCGATTGCATTATTCTTATTTGATATTATTAATTATTTGATACCATTGGAAAAAATATGGCTATGTAAGTTAACAATAATTCTCGTTGAAGCTGTTAACTAATGTCTTTTGTGAATATTCAATTTTTATAAAGATTTTCTTAGCTTTTTTCTGAAATCTGGGTTATTAATATCTCAAGAACTCATTGAATTAAAAAAATAATCATTATTTCAGGAATGCAATATCCGTTGACTCGATGTCTATAGCACTGTTGTATACATCCCTGGGCAAAAGCCTCCCTCCCCTCACTCTTTTGCTGTCGAAACGATTGGTCTCAAGTAAATTTTGGGTACAAGAATGACTTAAAAATAGTATTTTAGTGTTGTTTATGTTTGATCATGATCTACTTCAATAAAGAATGTACGCCATTCAATACAATCAGGCAACGCTACAAATGAGTTGGTTGATAGAATACTTGACGGCTGGATTATCTCTTTTTTTTTTAATCATTTATGAGTGTTTTACTAGTTTTACTTTATCTATATTTGTATTAATTGACAATACTGCACTCTCGAAAGAGCTTCGAATCGGTAATGAAAACAGTTTGATGATTCAAAACAGTAAAACAGTTAACAGACACAAAAAAGCAATAACCCAGTCGTAAAACATTTTGTCAACCAACAGTTTGTAGTGTTGCTCAATTATATTGAAAGAGGTACATTCTTCATTGAAGTGAATTGCCATCAATCATACACTACACTACAAAAAAACTACTTAAACCACCCTTGTAACTAGCACTTACCTGAGACCCAAGAAGTTCTATACGAAAAGAATAATGCATGGAAGGAAAGAGAAGACTTTTGCTTAGGATTGTATATATATATATCAGAGGAATTTTAATGATTTAATTGACTAGAGAACAGCTTTCAATTATTGAATATCTACAAAAAAAAAAAATAACCGGTTATCGGATTCTCATACCAAGCTGACTGAAAGTATATCTGTACGCTTTCTCATCTCAACTTATAATCTGTTCTATTTTATATATTGTATCGTGATATATATCTGTTTCATGAAAAAGAGACCCTGGTGATTATTAGAACACTTTTAGTCCTTCACCTCTTTTCTCTCTATACAATTGCTGTAAGTTGAAACGACAAGCAACCAATATTATAATTATACCTACAAGGATTTTTTTTCGGCAAGGTCCTTTACTTGTGTTTATCCGTCAATTTATTATAATAAACTAAAATAATATGTTGTTGAATCGTTTACAGAAAGGAAACGTTTAAATTTTTCTTCTTAGAAAAAAACGACAAATGTTTTCAAAAAGATTAAGAGACAAAAGTTTTATAAATTTCTATACAATTATTTTAAATAAAAATACTAACATAATTGATGTCTAATATACAGTTGTCCTTGCCATTATTTCATCATGAATAGTTCCGCAAGACTGATTTTGTCTACCGTCACTATCATTATCAATGTTTGCCTTTTCTTCTCTTTATATACAGAAAACCACAAACAAAATTGTAAATCGACTCTTTTATGTCTCTTTTTGTACTTGTTCACTCATCCACATAACATTTTTTGTCTATTCTCACATATTCTTCGTTTTTTCTATTTCATTAATTTTAGGAGTCGTGATTATAGCAAAGCCAAAGACAATACAGAGAGGGAAACTACTGCAACTTGTGTGAAAGATCGTACTCAAATTCAACGAATTCTTTCACAAGTTGGTTTAAATCCACGTGATTTTATCTTCAGTCCATCACCAGAAGATAACTCATCACAAGAACCACCATCAAACCATACATCAGCTTTTTCTACTTATCCTTCACAAGAAACACAGGACAATCAGTACCGCTTACGACCTCAATCACAATCGTTCTTATCGTCAGGTCGACCACTTTCATACGTACAACAACCTCCACCTCCGCCACCACCACAACCTCCCACAAATCAATTACCTCCAGTCGCAAAAGAACAATTTCCTTCAACATCACAAACATCGAATAAACAACAGCTAGGTCCACCACCACCACCACCACCATCTCAAATATTCACATCACTTTTCAACCGCGGTACATCTGATACACAAAATACAACTTCACAAGCGCCAGACGACATGAATCATCACGCTTTTTCACCACGACGATTACCTCCTTCACCACCTCCACACTTTAGTTCGCATCCTTGTGACTCGAACTTAACAGCCGAACATTATTTACGTGAAATTAATTCACAAGAATGTCCACCTGTTAAAGTTGTTAAACCAAATAAACAAAATGTTGTCTATAAAAAAGAAATTCGTATTCGTTATTTACAACCACCAACACCACCACCACCCGCACCAATTGTTATCCGTGAAAAACGTATACCACCTGCTCCACCTCAATCTGTACTGTTTTACTTTTATTCATTCTTTTTCTCCTCTAATTTATTAATCCTATTGTTTTCTATATTTACAGCCACTTCTTATTCGTGAACGAAAACCAGAGGCACGTACACCACCACCATTAACTATTCGTGAACGTCCACCAACACCACCTCCGCCACTTGAGTAAAGAAAAAAAGAAAACAAAATATAGGCTTTCTTACTTATTATCTATCATTCTCGTTTTTTTCATATCATTAGACCTTGTATTATTGATAAAAATATACCACCACCACCACCTCAACCACGTCAAATTATTATTGAGCGTTTACCAACTCCACCACCAAAACCTCGTACAGTTATATTTGAAAAATGGTTACCATATAAAAAAGTAAAACGTCCTGTTTTATTACAAAAGGCTCCACCACCTGAACCTATTAAACCAACACGTAATGTTATTATTGAATATGAACCATTGAAAGCTTATACAGTTCGACGTGTTATCGAAGAAGGTGTATTTCGTGTTGATCCACATGAATATACAAGTCATAATGCACGATCGCATAATGGTTGTGGTGATGTACGTATTGTTGAACGTATTGAAGATTTACCACCACCAAGTGAACATTTAAGACGTGTTTTAAATGAATGTGGTCCTTCAAATTCATCACATCATATACATAGTCATGATCATCATTCTCATCATAATCCATCTGAACATATTCCATCATCTGTTCAACATATATTATCTGGTGGACGATCAACGTCAAATATGGATCATTTAACAAATATATCTCGTTCATCAAGTATACCAGCTAACAGACAAGAACGTGTTTTATCAACAGGTTGTGATTCATCAATTGCAAGTCCAACTATTGTACCACTTCAGCGTTCAAGTTCAAAACATTCTCAACATCGATTACAACAAAAATATGCATCTCATGATAGCCCTATGGAATCTCAAATTAATGACGTTTATTAATAACTGAAATTATGTTTCTTTTTCTTTTTACTTAAAAACTTGATAAACAAACGAATTCTTTTTCTCATTTTCTTTTCTCCTCTTTTTTTTTCAAAATAATTTCTCAACAATTTAATATAATGTGATTTTCTTTAAGAGCACGAGGTTTTTTAGTCAACTAATATACATGTATATATGGATATATTCTATATCCATAATACAATTTTTTCATATATGTATGTGACGAAATAAAAAAACCCTGCAAATCGTATAAGAATACTTTTTTTAAAATATGCATGAAGTTATTTTAGTTTCCGAACTTCATTTTAATTTTACGGTCAGAGAAATCAAAAAAGAAATATTTGCTACTGATATCGATCACTTTTCAATGTTCTGATATTATCCTGTAATGACGTATAGACCGAGCTGTCTCGCGTACTTGGGCGTAATTACACGCTTCGCACATCGCTTTCTTTTCTTACTCAATGAATGCTTTCTGAAAGTGAAAAATCGTTTTGTCGGTGTCCTTTCAGCATGAATAAAATTATGAGATGGCGCAACATTCGCTTCATGGCGACTTGTGGTAGAGCATAGGACAAACTTGCCTATCTCTGACTGTAATCCATTTAACCTCTAATGCCTTCATTTCGGACAAGGAGATCAGACGAATCATTTTTAGGTATTAATACTAGTTTTGATAGAAACAAGACAGTTGTGTCTTTAGGAGTATTCATATACATATTTATTGATTATATGCGTTACGTGTTAAATCTTCGTTTTATTTTGTATGTTCATCTTATTTTGTTCTTGGATTATATATCTTTGTACAATAAGAATGGAAAGTCTAGTCGTTAAGTAACATATCACAACCGACAGAATTGAAAAACATTGTTAATAAAATCTCCAATTGAAAAGCTTCTCTGCCTTGACGTCTCAATATTCTGTTTATTTTAAGTCAAGTTCAACAGGTTTTGACACTTTTGTTTTTTTAAATATCTTAACTTGTCTGTTGTACGTGTCATAATTCTTATAGAAATTTTCATATTTCGAAATTATTAGTTTTATTTTGAATAAATTTAAGACTTATTCAAAAATGTAATAAGACTTGAATAATATATATGTATAGAATTATATTTTTATATTTCACGCATGTAAGTACAGATGTTTTCATATGAATAACTCCTTTTGTAACAACTGAAGATAATCACATTTGAATTATTTATAAACCAGTATCATAGAACGATAGATTAATTTAAAGAAATATGTCTACTCACAAATATCTAGAGAGTAGATTATAAAAAGAACTATAATACTGCTCTGAAGTATTGACTTAATCTGACATGAAATAAGATCACTAACGTTTGCACTAGAATTAGAGAGGAATGGCTGTAAGCTCAATAACTTAATAACTGTAATAAACGGCTACCTGTTTTTTTTTAGCAATTGAGCAGAAAAAACTTCGGATGTCTTTTGATCTGATACGATATAACAAAAATTATTTAAAAATGCATCATCTTCGCAAAAATATTCAAAAATAAAATGCATAAGAACGCTGTTGCATTTCAAAGGATAAAATTCAATCTATTTCAATATAATTTGACTCAATAATAGATACACATTTAAGTTGGTTCAACATTGAGCTATGAGAAAATAATCAGCTGAATCATGCCCAGAACAATAGATCTGAAGTATATGTCAAAATCAAAATTATATCAAAACAGAATACCGCTTTCATGCGTTTTATTTTGCGAAGATGATACATTTTAAAATAATTTTATCTTCCACAGTATCAGATGAAAAGACGTTCAAAGTTCTCTTTTTTTCGACTGCTGAAAACACACAGGTTACCAACTATTGAGATCACCTCCATATCTTTTTATATTTAACACAAACATTCAATATGGATCAGTTCATAAATAACTTTCAGTATTGACCTAAGACAATAACAAAAGAATATCAAAACGAAGTTTAACAATGATATGACATTGATACATATAGAATAAATTTTTCGAACTGATTGTTTTTTAAATATTCGTATTCATATTCAATAATTCCAATACATAACTAAGCTATTCAGACAATGATTTTCTCAATGTCATTCAAAAAAACACCATTGCTTTTTTAACATTTCTATCGTTTAATTATTTATAATCTACCTTGTACATTTTGTTACAAAAAATATTCCCACACGTAAAATGTCATATCGAGGTCATCTCGTTTATGTTAATTCTATTGATAGAAATCAAAAACTTCTATCGAAATAAATTTTTCATGCCATTATTCTTTTAATCTTTTGGTTACCAACCAAAGACACACATACTTAAAATAGAATGGCTTTAACACCTTATACATTTTCATTTTCATTTCTTAGTGTATGAGTCTAACACAAGCCATAAGAAATGTTGAAACTTCCTACTCTTTGACATTTACTTTTTGCAAATGTATCAAAAGAAAAATATACTTTAGATTGGTTTCACGTGATGATGAAGATCATAACTCATATATGCATCGTCGGATTACTAAAGAGTTAATACGATTCAATTATGTTTAAAAATAGAAATAATTATGGAAATATTTTTAGAAAATCAAAGAAAACTTTACTAAAAACAAAAAGAAAAAAAACAAAGAAAAATAGAATTAGCAAATATGCTATATGGTTTATTTTTTCTTTGTCATATGTTAATTTTAAACATGAGAAAAAAAAACACATAAACATTAGTGTTTATATTTATAATAGAAGGAATAAATTGTATTTTCTGTCTATTTTTTTTTTCTTCGTAATTGTTTGTTTTTATTAAATCTGACTTGAATAATTTGCAATTGATAAATTTATAAATAAACAAGGAAACAAAATTAAAAATACAAATCACCGGTCATTATTAAATTGATCAATCATTGATCGAGATAATTTCATAGCTGTTTGATTACGAATAAATTCTGTTGATTTTGATTTAACTAATGCTGAAAAATCAGCAAAAGATGGAGAAGATTTTATTGAACGTGCACATGTTTTACAAACTGGTGCTAAACTATTACTATATAAACCAGGTAAATGAATACCACGTTCAATACAACGTGCACAAAAATTTTCTCCACATTTCCAACAATTATACTAAAATAAAAGAAATATTTAGATAAAAACATTTGTTAGTGACATGAATTATCAAAACTAAAACATGTTTATCGTAATATAATAAAATTCTCTAGAGCTTAGTTTTATATGTCAAGTTATTCTAGAGATTCTGAAAAGTCACTACTACTAGAAACTTTGATTCAGAAAAGTCATTAGTAAAAAGCTAGAATTAGCAGCGTATCACAAGAAAAAAGAATATCCACTTAACTTAATGAATTTCAGTATAAAAAGAACTCCGAATTGAGACAGTATTTTTGGAAACTAAAATAGTACATTCTGCAAATAATTCTTGAGACTACAAAATTTCTATTCAAAGTTGTTTTCTGAGCATGCATAGATTTGTCAAAAAAAATCACTTTACATTTCGTTAGCGACATGACGAAGTGTATGGTAAAAAAAAAAGTTTTTATTTCCGGACTTGACAGAATTTCTTTAAAAAAAAACGGCTTTTTTAAGGGTGAACATTTTCGGAGTCTAGTCTGACTGAAAATTTCATTATAGGTGTGATTTATTCCGTAGAATCTATCTTGAAGTTTTCAGATTTTTTTTTTTCTCATAAAGCTAGACAGATATTCGCTAATTACTTTTTTTGTGAAACACGATCTAAAACGAATGGTAAAATATATAGGGTAGAAATTTGGATCCACTCTTCCGTAGACTCCGACGTGCCATATATCAATAACGGATCGTTACACTATATTAACTGCATACTTATTGCACTTCTGGAGAATTAAGTAAAATAAGACTGAAGAAATGTGCTCCAAGATGTATATAATAAAGCAATCTTCCTCTCATTTTACATTTTAACACTGCAGGTATTGCACCTACAGCTTTAATTAAGAGTTATTACATATATTTATACTAAAAGAACATATTTAGAAAAACAACCGTTTTGAAAAGTGAAATGAAAGATAATTATGTCCCGTTTTGCTTGAAATAGCTCCTATTTAAATTATTTTTCATACTTTTCGTTGTGCAGAATCAAATGGTAATGAACAAGCACAATGAACAGGTGTATGATATGAACGCCAATCGAGTGCTATTGAATTAAGTTCAAGTGCAATACGTTCTATTGTTGGCATATCATTTGTATCAATACTTGATTGATGTTGAAGTATAAATGGTGATAAGGGAATTTTACTATGTGGGGAATAATCACCACTAAAACCACTTTCAACATCAGATGATGATAATGTTGGTGGTGGTTGAAGTATTGTATTTAATTTTGATGATATGGAATCTATTATACGTGTTTGACTTAATTCAGCTTCACTTAAACCACTATCAAGTTCCGATAAGGATATTTTTTTATGATGATTTCCTTTCTCAATATCAGAATCATCAACATCTTCATTTGATGTTGTTGTTGTTGTTGTGGTTGTACTACTACTTGTTGTTGTTGTTATTATTGTAGGATCATTATCAAGTACTGAATGAAGTTCACGAATACGCTAAGAAAAAAAAAAAACAATATATTATTATTAAATTTTTTATTTCTTTCAAATTTTAAAACCTTTTCTAATAATCTTGCATGATCTGCAAGTGATAATGTATGATCAACAAGACGTGTTAATGTATTTGAAATATTTTCTTTTGGTAATAATGCACTATCAAAACGATGATACATACTTAACCAAAATCTTAAATAAATAAATAAATAAACAATAAAAACTGATTTTAATTTATAATACTTTAATGTTTGAGGATTTATATTTGGTAAAAGAACTTCACTTGCATATGATGATTGTGGACGAAATAATGGATTTTTAAAATCACTTATATTTTGTAAAATATAATTCCAAAATGAGTATGTTCGTTCTTTAATACTAAATAACGACAATCACAAAAAAAAATTTCTCTCAAAAGAACTTTTTTTTATTAATTGAAA